TGCTGTGGTCGGATTTTCCTAATTTCGAGCAGACTTTATTGCTGTAAGCATTTTTAACACTACAATAACACAGGTCGAGAATTGCGTCTCCTCGCGTTTTTACATTCACAACTTGGTCATAGTTTGGTAGGACAGAATCCTAAAATAATCTGAGGTGCATCTGGGGCTTTTCCTTCATATCGGTGAATAATGTTAGCGATTATTTCACTAGCTACGTCTGTATTGGCACGTGGGTGTATATAAACAGCTGTTATAAATATCTGGCTAAATTCTCGTGGAAGATAGAAAGGTCGAACACTCAGTGTTAACAGTTCTATATCTGGGACACACACTGTTTCTCTGATACACCAATTATTACACCAATTCTTATTTAGGTAGATGCACACTCCACCGCCTAATAATTATGGGATTCAAACATTTCGACATTAATTATGTTATCATCAGGAATGTCATCATCATTCCTGATGATGACATAATTAATGTCGAAATATTGAATCCCATAATATAGCACCCATTTTACAGAATGTAGCAATATCTTTTATGTAGCATATTAACTATCTTGTATGTGGTATAGTTTCTATTTAATCATAGTGATAATATCAACTGCTCTTGCTGGGTTAAGCATGAAAAGGCATTCAGTGTTTAAAATCATGCTAGTAGCTGGCCACTAGCTATAGCTTATAATATCAATTATATAGCAACAATTTCACATACAAAATATATGTTACGAACTGCCAGTACTTTTCTTGTTAATGATTTATGTTGTGCGCCCTCAAACCTGTTGTGATGACAGAAACTTCCGACAACCATTACCAAAATTGATGAGTTAATAAAAATAAACCATCATCATAATCATCATCATCAGCATCAGCATCACATCCCAGTAACCATATCTACCAGCATCCGATATATTATTATCAACTATCGTGCCGCCAATGTGCTACTGTAACTACGACCTGTATAGCCAGTACAGTGTTTACCATAAATCCTGATAAAACCTGTAGTACCCAGGTGATTGTGATCATTGTTTACCTTACCATTTGAACATTAAATATTGATTGGAACTGTTAAACCAGCCTTCGTACTCACTTCTTAACATGGTCCCTCGAGCCGGATGAAATGGCAGAAGAAAAGAGACAGTACAAAATTAACCGAAGGAACGCCAAAGGGAATCTCACAAGACAGGTCCATGGATTGCAACAGGTCATCGGAAAGGAACACCCGAACCTGATTGAGTGTAAAACTAAGCTGCAGTCTTTGAAAGGCTTTTTCAGTACTGTAGAAGATAAACATGCAGAATTGGTGAGCGTAGTAGACGATGATGAAGAGTACCAAGAGGAAGAGGAATGGATGAGGAATTGCTAGAGCCAATTTATTACGGAATTCTCACAAATAGAGAAGCTGTTGAATGATTTAGAACTGATAGATAATTCTGCAAACATTCATGAGGCAAACTCAGTAGATAATACCGAAGACAATGTCAACCCTGATCCTAATTCAGATAATGTCGAAACGCACGACGTGGGTAGTGAATGGGGTATTCCCCCAATAGCCAGTGTTAGTAATAATGCAGTCACAAAGTCTCATGCTCATGATACTTCAATGTCTATGTCTGCTGTATGCTTCCTCCCTCAATAATCCACTCAGGTACTTGCCATTCCTTGCAGACCTTGCTGAATTCACCGGTGATAGATTGCAATACTTTCCGTTTATTACAGCCTTTAACAACCTAATGGAAGGCGAGGAGGATAAGATTAAATTCGTCTACCTACTTCGTCACTGCAAAGGTGAAGCGTACAGTGCAATTCAGTGCTGTGCCATCCAGCCCCCTGCGATGGGTTATAAATATGCTCGCCGCATACTACATGAGAGATACGGTAATCGGGGTACAATTGTCCAGCACTGGATCCAAAAACATTAAAGCCAACCCCAAAGTAGAGACTGAAACTCTTCGAAAATTTGCTGATGATCTACACAATTGTGTGGAGACAATACAGGCCCTAGGATATTCAAACGAACTGGACAACCAACAAGGGTTACAGATGATTGTAAATAAACTACCAAGATTTCTACAGCTCTGCTGGTCTTGAGAGAATCAGCGCATTAAAGACAAAGGTGACAGACCTACAATCAAGATGATTACGTCATTCGTCGATGCGGCTGCGACAGAGGTGAACCATCCAGTTTTTTGGATATTTAAGCTATCCAAAGCAAACCAAGTACCAGAAACCAAGGACGAAACCAACTCCTGTTAATCTAGTAAAGGAATCCAGGCTGAAAGGTTTGAATGGAACATCGGCTAATAGACCATCAAAGATGTTTTGTCCGTACTGTATTGGAGTCGATCATTTCTTAGGTAGCTGCAAGGACCTCAGGGAGTTGGAAACAGAAGCCATTAGAAGATGGTTAAAGAATAACAATAGATGTGCGAGATGTGGAAGAAAACATAACGAAGCAGCCTGTACCTTGAAGAAACCATGCAAGTTGTGTGACCAGTTACACCTTACTGTATTACATAATTCATTGCTGCCTGAATCCACTGTTCATTATGTAGATCGACAACATGTATCACAGGATGTATTCTTAAAAATCGTGCCTGTCACCCTCTACAGTGCCACAACTCAGTAGAATACATATGTATTACTGGATGACGGATGTATGAGAACTATTGTGTTGTCTGAGGCAGTAGCAATGCTGAATCAATCATGTGTGCAGGATGAGATAGTATTGACCATAATTAGGGGAGATAAAGCAACATGTCAAGGTAGAAAGTTGAACCTGCAGGTATCAGCTAGAGGAGAGACGAAGAAAAGATATAATCTGGATGATACCTTTACAGCGCCAACCTTGAACATGTCTACGTACTCGTACCCGATTACAGAGCTCAAACAGAAATATGATCACCTCAATCACATACCGCTTCCAGAAATCAACCAGGTTAAACCACTAATACTGTTAGGAAATAGTCGCCATACACAGAGAAGACACCATTCGTTCCGGAAATGAACCTGCACCCGTTGCGGTGAAAACAGCGCTTGGTTGGTGTTTACAAGGACCCATGACTCTTCATTCTTCAAAACATGCTCCTAATGCCATGATGTATATATCATGTGACCAAAGTCTGCAGGACGATGTGGAAAGGTTGTGGAAAGTCGATGTACTACCAGCAACCAGACAAGCAACAAGGTCCAGACAAGATAAACAGGCCATTGCAATCTTAGACCGTCTTACCTGCCGTAAATCAGTTAAGGGTGTAGAGAGTATAGTAAAAACCACTCCTTCGTGATAGTAGTGATATCAATTTCAAGGCTGGCCCAGAGTCAGAAATTCCCATGATGAAGAGAACCGAGAGAGGTTACCGAAAGGATCCAGAGAAAGCTACCATTCACAACCAACTGATCAATAAACTAATAGAAGATGGACTTGTGAGAACTATCTCCCAGGAATAATCTGAAATATCCCAGGAATCTTGGTACGTTCCTCACCATGTTGTGACACATAATGAAAAGTCACGGCTGGTGTTCAATTGTTCTCATGAGTATCAGGGTAAGAAGCTGAACCAACATCTACTACCTGGTCCTAACCTGGGATCGTCACTTCTTGGAGTGATTGTAAGGTTTCGCCAGCATAATGTAGCAATATCAGGCGATATAAAGGCTATGTACCATCAGGTGCACCTTCGTCCCCAAGACCAACCGATACTCAGATTTATTTGGAGGAATTCTGATGAAAGTCTGAAGCCGACTATATACCAATGGTCAGTACTCATATTCGGTTCCACATGCAGCCCATGCTGTGCCACATATGCACTCCAAAGTCTTGTGAATGAAAGGGGTGAAGCATTTCCGGCAGTTAGGCGGTCGGTGCTATGAGCGTTCTATGTAGATAACTGTTTAGATAGTATGAGATCCATCGACGAGGCCCGAAATTTGATCAGAGACATGAGGACCTTATTCAATGAAGCGGGGTTCTTAATCCGACAATGGAACAGCAATGAGTCTGAGGCACTGCAAGATTTACACCCAGAAGTTCTGTCCAAGAACAGTGTTTGTGAGTTTAAACAAGATTCCACTTCTCCTGAGCCCATGCTCGGCATGGAATGGAACACCATCACAGATACATTGATGTACAAACAGAATCTCATACCTATAGTGCACTTAACTTACGCACAGTGTATCGCATTTTAGCCAGTAAAATATGACCCGCTTGGGTTCTTGACGCCATTCTTAATCCGAGCGAAGATCCTGGTGCAAGATATATGGCGCACCGAGAGGCGTGAGTAAGATGCAGAGATTACGGAAGTGGACTTACGAGATCGTTGGCGGCAATGGGAAACGGAGCTAATTAACCTACCAACTGTTAAGATTCAACGATATTATATGGCACAGGAAATGACTTCCCATCACATACATGTATTTTGCGATTCTTCTGAACGTGCTTACGGGGCGGTCACCTACCTTCGAGGTGAAAGTGATGGAGAAATCAAGACAAACTTTGTGATGGCTAGATCTAAAGTAGCTCCTAAGAAACAACTTAGTATGCCTAGACTTGAGTTATGCGCAGCGTTGGTGGGTGCTAAAATTCTGGAGTTCCTTAAGTACGAGTTAACCCTGACGATAACTGAGATGCACTTGTGGAGTGATGTAACCACGGTCCTTAAATGGCTGTGTTCTGAAAATTGTCGTTACAAGGTGTTTGTGGGCACTAGAGTCATAGAGATTTTGCAGTTAACAGAAAAATGTCCATGGCATTATGTCAACACTCGAGAGAATCCTGCAGATGCCATAACAAGAGGGAAGCCATTGTTAGATCTTGCTAATGACCAACTATGGAAATACGGACCCTCATATCTTGTGCAGCCCAAGGAGAACTGGCCTCAGATACCAGATTTATCTGATTATACAGATTGTTCTGCTGAGATCTGTAAAACAGCATTCTGCGGAATAGTTGATGTTGCTGAGCAATCTTAAATAAATGATTGCAGAACTTATGACGAATTAATGACATACCTATCGACTAGGTTAGATGGGGCGGCTCCGCACATGCTCCAGAGAGAGGCTTGGGTTATCGTCCAAAGGGAATCCTTTGCTGATGAACTTTCTGCACTGACGAGTGGGAAGAATGTGGATCGTACATCCCGAATTAACATGTTGGACCCTATCATCGATGAGGATACCGGATTAATGGTTAGTGGTTATTAATTTATAGAGCGCAAAATACAAAAAGTCTCTAAGCGCTATCAGGCAAGTGTAAAGATGAACTGGAAACCAAAACCACAAAATAAAAAGAAGTGAAATTTGAATACCATGCCAGCACCAAACCGAAGTATGGGGATACGCCCTCATCGCTGGCTAGGGTTCAATCTAATTGAACTACAGTCAGCACCTGTTGAGTCTCGGGACGTAGCATCTTCATTTAAAAAACGCCTATCTGCCTTGATGTTGCGGAGATGGAAGGATACTACTCTGCATGTGTTTGTAATATGTCTAATCATGGATAGTGTGGAGTCAAACGTTACACCGATATGTCGCACCTCAGAAGATGGAATGATGTAGGTGTCTCCCACGCGGATATTTTCAATGATAGGTACATTTAGACGGCGTTTAGGCTTTATATACAGCACTTATGTCTTTTCTGTATTGCAGCAAAGCATATTGATAGACAGCATCTATGAACATCATCAATACAACCTTCTAAGTTGTGAACTGTCTCTGCGGCAGCCTCCGGACTAAAAGATGTGTACAATTGCGTGTCGCCGGCATAAATGTGATATTTAATACCGTGTTTCTGAATGATGTCACCAAGAGGACGTACGTAAATAAGGAACAAAATGGGCCCCAAGGTAGAACCTTGAGGAACACCTAAATAATGCGAAACTACCACAGGAGCAGAAAACTCCAGTTATTTTAGAACCAAACCATCCTATCACGAAGTTAATCATTAAGAAGACTGATGAGAATCTTCATCATCCTGGTAGCGAAAGGGTTCTCGCTGAATTGAGACGACGAGTATGGATCCTGCGCGGCCGAGAAGTAATCCGTGGTATCCAGCGTCAATGTCAATCCTGTCAAAAGTGGAGAGCAAAGACTATTGTTCCAAAGATGAATGATTTGCCACCAGAGAGATTACGTCTAAACAAACCAGTTTTTTATTCTACAGGAGTCGACTGTTTTGGGCCAATTCGGATAAATGTTGGTCGTCGCATAGAGAAACGATGGGGCATTGTTTACAAGTGTTTGACTGTAGGAGCAAAACATCTGGAACTACTTGATAGCATGGATGCAGAAGCGTTCCTACTGTACTTTCGCCGATTAATAAGCTGAAAGGGCACACCCCACGACATCAAGTCAGACTGTGGGACCAACTTTAAAGGTGGAGATGCAGAACTAAAACTGGCCTTTCATCAGATGACGGCAGATCTTCGAGCACAACTCCGACCGTACCAAGTTGAATTTCATTATAATCCTCCATCAGCTCCGCACCTTGGAGGCGCCTGGGAGCGTGAAGTGAGGAGTGTTAAAGATGCCTTGCATCGTACTATAGCAGAGCAGACAATGACTGAAGCAGTGTTATATACGATTCTCGTGGAAATTGAGGGTATCATCAACACAAAACCACTGGGATATGTGTTATCTGATGGTAGAGACTTAGACCCAGTCACCACGAATGTACCTCTAATGGGGCGTTCAGATCCAGTTTTTACCACAAGTTGTCTATTCCGAAAACGACATATTGACTAAAAGAAGGTGGCGTCAAAGTCGACTTATGGTGGACCACTTTTGAAAGCGTTTTATCGACTACTATCTTCCCAGATTATAACTTCGACAAAAATGGCAGAGAGCGAGAGAAAACCTTGCAAAGGGCGATTGTGTAATGATTGTCGACAAACTACTTCCCCGTGGTCTATGGCCTGTGGGTAGAATCACAGTAGTTAAACCTAGCGTAGTGCGCACCGCAGAAGTGTAGGTAGCCGGAAAGATATAATGTCCAGAGTTCACATAAACTGTTCAAAGTAGCCTGGTAACCTCAATGAGCCACAATTAGATAACGTTGGATTATGTTAAATAGTTGTTAGATTGTAATTATTAGGATTATTCAGTTCATTGAAAGACAAATTTGTTCCAAATTTAGGGGCTGCTGTTACAACTGCCAGTACCTTTCTTGTTAATGCTTTATGTTGTGCGCCCTCAAACTTGTGATGACAGAAACTTCCGACAACCATTACCAAAATTGATGAGTTAATGAAAAGAAACCATCATCATCATCATCAGCATCACATCCCAGTAACCATATCTACCAGCATCCAATATATTATTATCAACAATCGTACTGCCAATGTGCTACTGTAACTACGACCTGTATAGCCAGTACAATGTTTACCTTAAATCCTGATTGTTAACCTGTAGTACTCAGGAATTACATTGATTGTGATCATTGTTTATGTTACCATTTGAACATTAAATATTGAATGGAACTGTTGAACCAGCCCTCGTACACACTTCTTAACAATATAGCAATCATTCGGTTTAGCATTAAATAGCGATTAAAATCATGTTATGTAGCTGTCACAATGCTTTAACTGTTGGTTATACAACGTTTGCGATGATAGGCGTTAGGGTTAAGTACGCCAGCAGTTTACCCTTTAGCATTGACTAGGCTTTTGCGATGATAGGGGTTAGGGTTAAGCACGTCAGACGTTTGCGCTGATAGGATTAGGCACGTCAGCAGGGGTTTGCAACAACAGGCGTTATGGTTAAGCACTCAGACGTTTGCGCTGATAGGATTAGGCACGTCAGCAGGGGTTTGCAACAACAGGCGTTATGGTTAAGCACGTCACCTGTTTACCATTGAATAGGCGTTTGCGACAATAAGCAGACCTGTAGGCGGGTGGAGGGGGGGGGGGGGTGCAGATATTGCTAAAAGGTCCACTTTTTAAAACCTATGATTTTACAAAATCGTTCCTAATTATCATAAAATAATGCTATAGCATGCATTGCATTATTTGCCAGCTTATCTAACCGTTAATTTTTAAAAATGTGGTAATATCCAATTTGTTTGAAATTGGTCGTCTCCGGTCATTGCTGATCGATCTATATAATATGAAGAATGTTATCTATTGGCCTCTTCAGATGTACGGAACATTACTTTTTCATGTCCCAAAAAACACCCAATTAATGAAAATTTAAATGAAATATTCATGAATTCTGTGTTTGAAAAATCTATTAGGCTTATGTAAGACCCTAAAAATGCTACTTTTATTGTTGCTTTTCTCGCAAACCCCCTCCAGGCCTCTACACATGGACCACCAGATTCCAGAAAGTCCACTTTTTAAAAACTATTATTTCACTAAAATCGTTCCTAATTATCGCAAAATGCTATAGTATGCATTACAATTTTTGCCAGCTCTTCTACCCGTTTGATTTTTAATAATGTGCTCAACGAAATCTGAAATTATCAGCTCCAGTGATTGTAGGCCTACATCTATGTAAAGGACATGAAAAATTATAATTTCACAGTTGTTGATTCAAGGGGGAGACCCCCCTAAATTTATAAAAGAAATGGAGAAAAAAGAAAAATCATAATTAAAGTTTGTCTGAGAGTGCCCTTTCCAGCCACTTTGAGGTGCCATAATCATAAATGTTCTTACCTCAGCACCAACCATGGTGGGGCTGAGGTGGTATTGACCATCTGTCTGTGCAAGTTTTTCCCTTCACCCCACCCTCTATTTCTCCTACTTTACTGTAGGTCCCTAGACAAAACTCAAATGAATGAAAATTTAAATAGGATATAACAAATTATGGATTTTAGAAATCCATTAAAAAAGGCCCTCAAAATGCTAATTAAGTCAGAGCTTCCAGAAAATTCGCCCCACCCTCGCGGGGATCCATAGGCAGTTGCCCATCGTAAGGTCCATTTCGGTTGCAAAACACACCTCCACATCGAAAATCCATGCCTACGGGCCTGGTAGGCGCAACAATCGTTATGGTTAAGCACGTCACCTGTTTACCGTTGATTAGGCCTTTGCGGACGATAGACGATAGGGTTAAGCATGTCAGGCGTTTGCGCCGATAGGTTTTAGGGTTATATTGTTGATTAAGGTTGGAGCACGTCAGCACTTTACCATTGAATAGACGTTTGCGACGATAGGCATTAGGGATAACAAATAGGAAAAATAACATATTCAATTGCAAATGGTCGGTAAAAATGCCTATATATTAGCGTACACATTTCCTACTGGCGACTTCCGGAAATCTTATTAACCCTAATTCCTATTCATTAATGCAATGGCTGGCGTGAACACCTATTCATTAGCGGACACAGTTCAACATGGTAACATGGCTGACATGCTTATCCCCTAAAGCCTATCGTCGCAAACATCTGATGACGTGCTTAACCCTAACGCCTATCGTCGCAAACGCCTATCTAATGACATTCATCGCTATCAATGCTTCCTAGTGATGTTATATTTTGTGAAATGGGTGCTATATGACTGCTATATTATAAGCTATAGCTATTGTATAACAGCTACGAACATGCCTTTAATCGCTATTTAATACTTAACTCTGTGATTGCTAATATTTTTTTAATGGGTGCTATATGACTACCATTATAATGTATAGGTGGTGACCAGCTACTAGTATGCTTTTAATCACTATTTAATGCCCTTTAATATTTAACCCAGCTATTATAGCAGACAATATCACAATGATTAAAAACACAAAGAACATACAAAACAGTTGATGTGCTCCAGCAAAGATATTGATATATTTTGTGAAATGGCTATAATTATGACTGCTACTATAAGCTATTACAAGCTGTAGCTAATGCCAGCTAGGCCTACTACGATGCTTATAATGCTACCGTATTTAATGTTATGACCAATCATGCGTGTAAGTGGCCCGTTCTACATCGAGTATAAGGCTATACCGCAACCTGGGTACTACATAAATAAGTGGCGGCCGCCAGATAATTGTGTGGCAGCCGCCACTTAATTATCTGGCGGCCGCCACTTAACGGATCTAAAATTTTAATTCACTAGTGGCACTAACGGGCTTCCTTAAATCCCGACATGATGGCGTGCATTTCGATCCTTGGAGTATGTATCATTCTATCCTAATAAAAAATGTTATAAAAAAAAATCGAATTTGTTTTTTTTTTAACTTGTATTTTAACAGAAATGAAATTACTAGTTGTGATACAGAGGCACCACAGAGAGATCGTCGTTCAGGTTAGTGGTCTCTTACAAGAATTACTCCACTCATGTTTGTATTTGTGGTTTGAGAAACATAGATATTAAATTGACCTTAAATTGGCATATCGAGCTGCAACAATGTTCAGATATACCAAAATCGTATAGTTATATGCATGTGGTACAAACAGTCCAAAACCAGGGAGTCTGTAGCTTGGAGAAAATGTATAATAAGTAAACAACTTTTATTATTATCATTGTCATTTTTGCTGCTGTGGGGTGTGTCTGGTGATGGAATGCTTTTGTTTTTGCTTGTTTGATGTTTAGGGCTGCGAAACCCTGTATAATAACATTGCTTCTACTCTTCTTTCTCCCGATTTGATTCAAAATATAACAGTGAAGTTCTCAAGCTGATTAATCTTTATCTACTTTATATTCTGTTGTTGGAAAGCATTTTGAAAAAAATCAGTCAAATATTTGGGCAATGAAATTAAAAACAAACTAGATTTTTCCCTTTCAATCTTTCAAATTGGCATTGGTATGCCTAATGCATGTGTTACATCTATACAATACATTCTTGTCAATTTGATCACTAACAATGAGGATTTCTAGTATTGTGTATTTTCATATAGATTCTAATCTATCCGGCAGCCTGCATCCTGATTTCTCTCCAAATAATGATACCGTAGTAAGAGCAAATAGGTTAATGAGCTTGACAAATTAGCATAAGTTTTACAGTCCATCGCATTTTTGAACTCGTAACTCACATTTTTTAATTCGTAACTCGCATTTTCCAACTCTCAACCCGCACTTAAAAACTCTCAACTCGCACTTTCCAACTCGCAACTCGAATTTTCAAACTCGAACTCGCATTTTCCAACTCGCCACTTGCATTGTAGTAGAGTCAAAATATGAAAAAAAAATGCCCCCCAAAAATTGCAAGAAAACGGTTTTTTAAAAAATGTTTTATGTAGCGTAAGGTCTATAGAAAAACATATCAAAAGTTGGCAAAAATCCGACAACCAGAAAAAAAGTTTTTCCAAGATGGCCGCCAAAATGGCGCCAATTCTTTAAAAACGGCTATAAATCAGGTACTTTTTGTCTTGGAGTCGCAGTTTTTTTTTCTCTAATCTA